AGTTTAGAAAGAAGCCCTTTGGTCTGCCAAATCTATTTTCTTCTTCTATATTTCCAAAGGAAACTGAGTTCCCACATCTTTAACAAAGTATATCTTTTCCCCAATACCTAGGCTTTCCTCAGCGGTTTAGAAAATTGCTGTTACATCATTACATAATTGCCAAGTTACATCATTACACAACTGCCAAATTGCATCATTACATAACTGTCAAACCACTGAGAATCATGGCCCAATTGCACTTGTCCAATCACATATTTTTCTCCCTATTATAATGAGTTAAAGTTCAAAACATAAAAGTTTGAATGATGTCAGTTCAGTAGTAAAACTTTTATTTTTCTCTGATCAGTATTAATTTTTTATTTATAATCACATAATATGGTAGTAAATGAAAATTCATTTCACATTAATGTTCTAGATATACACGTATTTTGTTTAGAAAGAAGGGAGAAAAAGGAAAGAAAAGAGAAAGGAAATAAAATTACTAAAGCAGAAATGAGAACCAACCACTAAAATTTTCATCTGAGTAATTGAAAAGAGCCAGGCAATAAGGAGAAATATTCAATAGCAGCTTACAGGTTCTAAATCTAGTCATTTTCAAAATTAATTTAAATAGGCTTATTAGTTTATGAGCTCAATCAGTAAAGTAAGCCCTATTCTAAAAATGTTTTTTCAAGTGATAAGATATTAAAATTAATAGGATACATAATAGCAGACAGGAAATACAACAGAAGACAAAATCCGTAACCTAGAAATCTATTAAGTACCTTATACAGTCTTGAGGTATAGTCACCAGAGTGAGCAAGGGACATGTTATAAAAATTAAGTTTAAAAATTCATAAATAAGGTGATGAAACAACTAGTGCCAGACTTGCCCTCTATGGTAAATAACTATAAAACCACAAAATGGAAGAGGCAATTGTTTTCATGCATTAAACAAAAGGAAGCAAAGAATTACAATGTAGCTTTTTCTTACTTCTGCCAGTTATTTGAGTGCCTGCCAGAATACAACTCAACAGTCCTTAAAGGAAAACACAATCCCAACTCCCTACAATGTAGAACATATAATAAAAATCACTGGACATGCGAAGAAGCAGAAAAATGGAACCCACAAATCAAGAAAAGGAAAAAGTAGTCAAGAGAAGCAGATCCCAAGATGACAAAGATGTTAAGAATTAGCTGACAAAAACTATAAAACAGTGTATCAATTACCTATTGCTGAGTAATAAATTATCCTGAAACTTAGTGGCTTCAAAGAACATTTTATTACCCACCCCCTCTCCCCCCGCCCCCGTTTCTGTACATCAAGAATTTGTGAGTGGCTTAGTTGGGCAGTTCTAGCTTGGGGTTTCTCACGAGACTGCAGTCATCCAAAGGCACCTCACTCACATGAAAGATGAGTTGGTGCTGGTTGCTGGTGGGAGACTCCAGTTCTTCTCCCACGTGGGCTTCTCTACAGGCTTCTTGAATGCCCTCAGAGCACAGCAGTGGCTTCCCCACGAAATGAATGACATGAGAGAGACAGCCAGGCAGCAGCTAGCTTTTTTTTAATGACCCAGCCTCAGAAGTCATATATAATGTCATTTCTGCCATATTTTATTCCTTAGAAGCAAACTGCTAAGCTGGTCTATATTGTGGTGCAATGAATTCCTTTATTTGGCCTTTGCTCTTGGTTTTTGGATATATAACCCTAGGGAATTTCCTAAGTAATTAAGCTATATAGACTATACCTGAGGATTTAGGGAGCGTACTTAGTAATGAGTATGTGGATTGGCTGATCAAAGCCCTGGAACCAGGGCTTTGAACTGGTTCGCTCTGGTTCAAGCCCCTGCTGAGAATTTGCATTTCTAACAACTTCTCAGGTGATGCTATGCTGGTAGAGCAGGGGTTCTCAAAATTTATTATACACAAGAATCACCTGAGGATCCTGTTAAAATGCAGATTTTGATTCAGTATATCTGGGATAGAAATTCAAATTCTCAGCAGGGGTTCGAACTGGAATAAACCAGTTCAAAGCCCTGCCTGGAACATGGGGCCTTGGGGAGCTTTTCTGTTACCAGAGCTATCCTGATTGAGAACTGTCCTGGCCAAGACTTGTCCTGGTCAAGAAAGAGAGGGATGTGCTCCTCTTGGGAAAATGGAAAGGGCACTTTAGAGACCCTTCCAGACCTTTCCCATGTACCTCTTACTGTTGCTGATCCTGAGTTGTATCCTTTTACCCTAATAAACCACATAACTCTAAGTATAGTCTGTGAGTTCTGTGAGATGTTACAGCAAATTATTGAACCCAGCAGAGAAAGAGAATGCTATGGGAGGCAAGTGGCAGCTGGTGTCAAAGATAATGGAGAAGCTGGAAAGCAGAGATATACTTGACTGCCACCTCCTAGGAATAAGCTTTATGATGATTCTTATTCAGGAAGTTATTCATTTACTTATTCAAGGGGAGAGGAATTGAAGTCCACCTTTTGAAGGGAAAATGTCAAAAAATTAAAGAAAAAGATAACAAAATGAATGAAGAGATTGGGAATCCCAGCAAAACACTGAAAACTATTTAAAAAAAAAAAAAACTAAGTAAAAATGCTGGATTTGTACAATATCTGAAATAAAAAAATCACTGGATAGGCTTACAAGCAGATTGGAGATGACAGAAGAAAGGGTCAGTGAATGTGACGATAGATGAACAGAAATTATTCAATTTAAAGAATATAAAGGAAAAATACAGAAAGTAACTAACAGAGCCCCAGTGACTTGTGCAACAATATCAAAAAGTCTAACATACATGCAGGACAAATAAGAAGAAAACCCCACAGAGGCACGTTATAGTCAAACGGCTGAAACACAAAGGTAAACAGAATATCTTTAAAACAACTAGAGAGGACAACTACTCAAGAAAGTGCCAATCTGTTTTGCAAAGTTAAACACATACTACCACATGACCCAGCCATTTCACTTACAGGGGTTTTTCCAAAAGAAATGAAGATACATTTTCACAGAAAGACTTGAGCATAAAAGTTCCTAACAGCTTTATTCACAATAGCTTCAAACTGGAAACAATCCAAATATCCATCAATAAGTGACTGGATAAACAATTTGTGGTATGTCCATATTCCAAAAAACCAAACCAAACCCATGCCATCAAGTCGATTCTAACGCATAGCGACTCTACAGGGCAGAGGAGAACTGCCTCATAGCGTTTTTAAGGAGCCGCTGGTGGATTTGAACTGCCAACCTTTTGGTTAGCAGCCAAACTGGAATACTATTCACCAATAAAAAGTAACAAACAACATGGATGAATTTTAAAATTATTATGCTGAGTGAAAGAGGCTAGTCACAAAATAAGACATACTGTATGATACTATTTATATGACATTCAAAATAATCTATAGTGTCAAAAATCAGATCAGTGCCTGCCTGAGGTGGGAAGCGTGGGGAAAAGAGAGAAGGATGGACTCCAAAGGGGCACAAGAAATATTTTCAGGATGAAAGACATGTTCTGCATCTTGATGGTGGTGTGGTTCCATGGCTGTACAGAACTAAGAAAACTCATGAAATTTTAAATGGATAGAGTTTATTGTGTATAAATTATTTCTCAATAAAATTAATTTTTTAAAAAGTAGCCAGAAGAAGAAAGACATATCACACACAAGGGAACAATAATACAAACAACAGCTGACTTCACATCAAAAACAACAGAGGCCAGAAGACAATAAAATGATTATCTTTAAAGTACTAAAAGAAAAAAAAAACACAGCACTTTCAATCCAGAATTTTTTATCAATCAAAAGTACCCTTCAGACATAAAGGTAAAACAAAAACATTTCAGATAACAAAAGCTGAGAGAGTTTGTTGTCAGTAGACCTGAACTATAGAAGAAATGCTAAAGGAAGTTCTTTAGGCAAAGGGAAATTATCCCAATTGAAAACTTGGACCTTGAAAAAGGAAAGAAGAGCACCAGATATGATGAACAGGTGTATAATTAGAAAAAAAATTTTTTTTCTGTTTTCCTCTTAATTTATTTAAACTGGTGATTTAAACTCTATTTTATACTGTGGGATTTATAATGTATGTAGATGTAAAACACATGACAAAAATAGCACAAAGACTGGAAGAGACATATGGTTCTTACATTTTACATGAGTTGGTACAATATTAACTCTAAGCTGACTATGATAAGTTATAGATGCATATTATAATTGCTAGAGTAACTACTAAAAAAAAATAGCAAGGTATAGCTAAAAATACAATAAAGAAATCAAAATGGATACTAAAAAATAGTCAATCCAAAAGAAAATCAGGAAAGGTGGAAGAGAGAAACAAAAGGAACAAATAGCAAGATGGAAGACTTAAACATAGCCATATCAATAATTACATTAAATTTAAACTGACAAAACACTCCAATTAACAAGCAGAGATAGTCTGAATAAATAGCAAGACCAAATTATATACTGTCTATAAGAACTGTACTATCAATATAAAGAAAGACAGGATAAAAAGGGAGGAAACTAATATATCATGTAAACAGTAAGCATACAAAAAATGGTGCAGATATAGAAGCATCAATTAAAGTAGTATCAAGTCGAAGGGTATTGTGATGGTTAAGATTGTGTGTCAACTTGGCTGGGCCATGATTCTCAGTGTCTTAATGTAATCACTCCCATGATTGAATATACTGTGAGCAGCCAATCAAATGAAAGGGAGTCTCCTTGGGGGTGTGGCCTG